AGTATTAATATTCATCATACGTGAGAAGCATTAATACTCATCATACACGAGGAGTATTAATACTCATCATATATGAGAAGTATTAACAGACCTGTAGACGTCTACAAGTGGAAGCTTTGTTCCTAATCAGCGCTAGCTGCGGTACCTACGTTGGACTGCACGCGGGCAGCACTAACAACCTGATTGATCAGATCAACTGGGAAACCTGGTCTGCGACCGTGCCGCGGGGACAATACTCCCTGGAACTGTCTACAGGTAAACTTCAAAAATTTCCCTGAGTACAGGTAGAAAGGGAAGCCAGCGGTCCTTGGCAAGGGCGAAGTTATCCGGAAATACAAGGACGTGTTCGACTTCCCCCACCCAGTCTGTGCCCCGTTCACCTGCAAGTGTGGGCACGTAGTCGCAAGGTCTTCTATGTGTGTAGCATTGATATAAACTTTAACGGAAGTTTGGTGGCTCGAGCGATTAATAACCGAGGCCCAGTGATTATATGAATTGCTAGGTACGGAAACTAGAAGCGCGAGGTTAAGACGTTACTGATAATGGTGCAAGGAACAGCGAGTCCTTAATTAAGGTCCCTCTTCTCCTCAAGCCAAGCTTCAGAATTCCCAGGGATACGACTCGCAGCCAGGTACCTACTTACTGCTCATGATTGCAGCCTAGGACGTTGAAATTAATAAGATATTTTGTGCTTTGAATTTTTTTTTTTATCACACTGGCCGATTCCCACCAAGGCAGGGTGGCCCGAAAAAGAAAAACTTTCACCATCATTCACTCCATCACTGTCTTGCCAGAAGGGTGCTTTACACTGGCAAGACAGTGATGGAGTGAATGATGGTGAAAGTTTTTCTTTTTCGGGCCACCCTGCCTTGGTGGGAATCGGCCAGTGTGATAATAAAATAAAAAAAAATGTATCCACAAATACCAAACTGTATTAATATATCCACAAGTACCAAAATGCATTAAGTAGATAATTGACTATAAGATAAAATTACTTATACGTATAAGATATACCTACTGCATAGCCAATGGGTCTGATAAAGACCCACTATGACGTCTGTAATCCTGTCTTTTTGCATTACCTAGGTCCTAGGGGATACTTGAAAAATTTTCTTTGGAGTGCTTGATAGTCGCACGAATTACAATATGATGCAATAAGTGCTACAAAAAAAATCATATGAACCAAGTGCATAAGCTCTGCTCCTATTGTTACAAATAAGTAATTACAAACAGGCACAATAAAGTGACCGCTCATGCGGCACAAATTAAAAAATTTATAGGCTAAATGCAATGACCACTGCACGATAGACATGAAAAAATATAAATGCGAACTTTAATTCAATAAGATAAAAATTTAAGAAACATTCGAGATATTAAGATGTTTATCTGAATGTTTACTATATAATGAACAGATGTTTAGAGCGACTCGAAGGTGTTGCATATGATGCCGAGACACGGCATCAGATGCGACATTAAAAAAAAAAAAAAGTTATAGACGTAGGCGGATATCAAGGATGCAGGGCGGAGCCGTCTCCTTGAGGATACTATCGCGGTGTGAGTTTTTTTCATTTAGGCCTCGTAAACAATTTAATTTTTTATAATGAGATTATAAAGAAAATTATGTAAAATAAAAGTAAATTAACACCAAATTTCAAACATCGGATCAAAAAAATATGCATAGTTTTAACAATGCAAGAAATCACTGTCCTCTATTTCTGCAGCTTCATTTATTCACTGGCTTTATTCTTGAATTGTTATATAAGTAATTATAACCTTACTTTTTAAAGGGGTGGACCGGTAAGCCAGGGAAAGGCCTCTGTCAGATGACCAAAAGCTCCAGTGGCGTCAGGTAACGCTTATGTTTCCTGACGAATCTTTCCTAATCTTGAATTGTTTTATACTAACACTTATCTTGACATAATCAAGTAAACCATTCCATTCCTTTATCGCTGTGTAATACAAGGTGTTTCAGTCCTGGCCACTTTCCCTAGTATACTATAGTGGCTTTGGTTCCCAACCTTTACGAAATTTGCAGCAATTTTTCCGGACACTAGTTAGAAATTTTGTATACATGGTCGAGTTTCAGCTACTTATTCAGTCTGCCACTTTAAATTATGGCATCCTGGCTTACATGTTCTTCTGGACCCAGATCCAGGATGAATCTCAATGTTTTATTTTAAGTAATGTGTAGTCTTTTTCTGTTGATCTTTTATTTACTGCAGTACAAGTACCACGTCAGAAAATACATCAATACAAAAATACATAATACTGCAGTCCTTTAATAATTCATATAAATGAAACGTGGATGTAATAAGTGAGGGTATTTTCTACAGAAAACAAAGCGGAGATGTTCTCACGGTCTCCTTGAATCTCAGCTGGCACACACTACCCCACCCAACACTCCTCGTCATGGTTATTCCTAAATAATACAGTTATATTCCAGGCTCTTCCTTACGCAGAGCGCCGTGCAAACGTTTAAATCAATTACATGAACGAAAAAAAGGTGATTTTGAACGGTACCAAGCGATCCATCTGCTCGGAACTTACATAAACCCTTGGTAAAGGATGGTACGCCCTGTTTGTTGCTTAGTTCAATCATCCCTGGGTTTTCCTAGGCTGAAGGACGCCACGCCCTGCCCCAACTTCCCTATATTGCTGTCAATTATCTTCTTCATTACTCATCATTTGCCCGTTGTCATGCACCTATTATATAGCACTCTTCTTGCCAACTAGTTTGGCCCCACACAAGGCTACCTGCCAGATTTTTATTTATAAGTAGCGTCTTCTAATGCGGGTAGAGTAAGGTCAGGATGAGACACGTGAATTTCTTTTACTCAAATATGGCTCTAAAGTTTTAAATTTTAAGGGATATCGATGACCAGGTACACATGGTAAACAAATATGGGTAAGGTGACAAATAGATTTACAATTTATTCTAAAAAACGTTCGGGAAGACTCACTGAACTCAATTCACAACACAAAAATAGCGCGGAAACTACTCTAATTTCTATATGTTATTAAATATTTAAGTACAAATTTCTGAAACCTCGTAGCTGGTCTACATATTGTTAGAAATATATACATCAAGAAGCAAGAGTTACTAAGCTGTGTGTACTCACCTAGTTGAGGCTGCAGGGGTCGAGTCCAAGCTCCTGGCCCTGTACTCACCTAGTTGTACTCACCTAGTTGAGGTTGCAGGGGTCGAGTCCAAGCTCCTGGCCCCGCCTCTTCACTGGTCGCTACTAGGTCACTCTCCCTGAACCATGAGCTTTATCGTACCTCTGCTTAAAGCTATGTATGGATCCTGACTCCACTACATCGCTTCCCAAACTATTCCACTTCCTGACTACTCTGTGGCTGAAGAAATACTTCCTAACATCCCTGTGATTCATCTGTGTTTTCAACTTCCAACTGTGTCCAATCTCTGGAACATCCTGTCTTTGTCCACCTTGTCAATTCCTCTCAGTATTTTATGTCGTTATCATGTCCCCCCTATCTCTCCTGTCCTCCAGTGTCGTCAGGTTGATTTCCCTTAACCTCTCCTCGTAGGACATACCTCTTAGCTCTGGGACTAGTCTTGTTGCAAACCTTTGCACTTTCTCTAGTTTCTTTACGTGCTTGGCTAGGTGTGGGTTCCAAACTGGTGCCGCATACTCCAATATGGGCCTAACGTATACGGTGTACAGGGTCCTGAACGATTCCTTATTAAGATGTCGGAATGCTGTTCTGAGGTTTGCTAGGCTGTGTGTGTGTGTGTGTGTGTGTGTGTGTGTGTGTGTGTGTGTGTGTGTGTGTGTGTGTGTGTGTGTGTGTGTGTGTGTGTGTGTGTGTGTGTGTGTGCGTGTGTGTGTGTGGTGTGTGCGTGTGTGTGTGTGCGTCTCTGTGTGTGTGTGTGTGTGTGTGTGTGTGTGTGTGTGTGTGTGTGTGCGCGTCTGTGTGTGTGTGTGTGTGTGTGTGTGTGTGTCTGTGTGTGTGTGTCTGTGTGTGTGTGTCTGTGTGTGTGTGTGTCTTGTGTGTGTGTGTCTTGTGTGTGTGTGTCTTGTGTGTGTGTGTCTGTGTGTGTGTGTGTGTGTCTGTGTGTGTCTGTGTGTGTCTGTGTGTGTCTGTGTGTGTCTGTGTGTGTCTGTGTGTGTGTCTGTGTGTGTGTCTGTGTGTGTCTGTCTGTGTGTGTCTGTGTGTGTGTGTCTGTGTCTGTGTGTGTCTGTGTCCGTGTCTGTGTGTGTCTGTCTGTCTGTGCTCTGTATGCTCACCTAGTTGTGGTTGCAGGGGTCGAGTCACAGCTCCTGGCCCCGCCTTTTCACTGTGTGTCTGTGTCTGTCCCAGTCAATCTGCCGTTGCTTCTACTTTCTACTCATAAGAAAATATCTGAATTTACATCATAAAACACCAGCACACATGTTCGTGTCTTTAGTGATACTGTTAGGTGCAAACTATCAATCAACAAGAACAGTATAATTTTGTGTGAAGACAGTGCTATGCCACCTTCTGGCGAGGGGAGGGAAATAATCTGTCTACATGACGCATACATTTGGCATCTGTCTGCCGCAAGATTTTTTTACTATTACTAGCATCTGTGAATATACACGCGGATATTACATCCTATAAAACAATAAGATATTAGCTTTAACGAAAATGGTCGTTAAGGAAATAAGGCGCATTAGAACAGCATGCCTAAGAATATTTTTCTGGCGTACGGTGTTCAGTAATCATGCTCTCATCGATGGCGTCTTTGCTAAGTAGATATTTGTATTTGCCTACATTTTAAGTACGTGGATTGACTTCCTTTTATAAGAAAACTTAATCAATTATAGGGGTTATAAAAAAATCATAATCTACAATCACCATCTCGTATTACGGTCTGTATTTTACTCTTGACTAAAACCAAATAATGGTGAAGTCATTATGCGACATTAAATATGGAACTTCAATCCACCTTCTTTAGAGGACGCAAGTCCGTCTCTACGTGATTCACAGCTTAATTTCTCAGCTCGCATGATTCCTAAGAGGCTTCCGCGATGTCAGATGACTTCCTCCTTGGCAAAGAAGGGTGTGTGCTGGAAAGAAGGGAGGAAGGGCCATTCCTTCCCTCAGGCGTACAAGTGAGGCCGCGGGCGGGTGTGGTCCATAGCCAGGGTCGCGCTTACACACGCATATATAAGCTGTTACTGTCGGGAATCCAGCCACACTTCCTCCGCAAGCACACATTCAGGATGGGGTACAAAGTTGTGAGTGTTCCTTTGATATCAGTTTTCTCTCCAGCATGGATCGGTGTTGAAAAGCTAATAATTATTTATTATGATTTATTAAGTGTGATATTTCATTCCGCTACGAAAATGTCGGTATTTGTGTGATGCAAAAGTTGTGGCGTATTTTGTAAAACGTAAACAATTACCGTAGAGAAGATCAATGAATGTTCGTCCTTGGATATACGCCAATAATGGATTTATATATTTCCAGTTAATGGTGACGTGCCTGTTGGCGTTTGCCTGGGCCCTCGAAGACACGGCAACAGAGCTCCCAGAAGACCTGGACGAAGCTGCCGCTGACACAGACAATACCACCGTCGTCCCCATACTGCGGCACATCAACAAAGTCAACAAGGACGGATCCTACACCTTCGGGTTTGAGGCAGCTGATGGAACCTTCAAGATCGAGAATCGCGACAAAGAGGGCAATGTGAGAGGCAAATATGGCTACATCGACGACCAAGGCGAGCTCAAAGTTGTCGAGTACACTGCCGGCAATAACACTGGCTTCGAAGCTGAATCTGACTTGCTACCCAAGAGACCTTCTCCAAATTTAAATAAGGACCTGACGCGTCCTTTTAGAAATCTGTTTAACACGCAGGGTGGTCCACAGTTCCAATCGCAACCTCAGTTCCAATCACACCCTCAGTTCCAATCACACCCTCAGTTCCAATCGCAGCCTCAGTTCCAACAGCAACAACCTCATTTTCAATCGCAGCCTCAGTTCCAACAGCAACAGCCTCAGCTCCAGCCACAGTCTCAGTTCAAACCTCCATCCCAGTTTACTCCCGGCCCTCAATTTGCTCCATCCGAGCCTCAGTCTACCCAGTTTCTCCCTCGTCCACAGCCTCAGATTAATCACCATGCTCATCCTACAGCCCAACTCCCATTCGTTGCACAGGCCGAAGCCCAGCCTCATATCACCTCCCGTCCAGGAACCCGGACCCAGCCCCAGCCTAATTCGTTGTCATCAACCCGTTCACAATTTCAGCCCCAGTTCCAATCTCGTCCCCAAACCCAGTTTTCCTCTCGTCCACAGCCCCAGTTTCCCACTCATCCTCAGCAGTTTACCCCAAGTAGCCACCGTCCCCAGTCTCCCCAAGTTACGCAGCGTCCCATAAATGTTGCCCTGGACGGTTTCTCAGAAGATAATAACCAGGACGGTTTCGTCGATGGGTCACCAGAAGAGGCCAGGAAGGGAAGACCTTCCAGTAGGTTGCCTGCAGGCACCTTCGGACTGCCACCAGACCCACAGGCTTCCCTACCCCGCCCGCCGCCCGTCCAGCCTCGCCCACAGCTCGTTTCTCAGGAGCCACAGTCGCTGTTCTTCCAGCAGCAGGTCCCTCAAGGCTTCAACAGATTCGCACAGCAGACGCCACAGTTTGACCTCCAGCAGCTGACTCCACAACAGATTCAGCAGCTTTTGGCAACTCAGCAGTTGACACCACAACAGATTCAGCAGCTTTTTGCAGCCCAGCAGCAGTCTTCTCAGCCACAATTCTTCGCTCAGCAGACGCCACAGTTTGACCCTCAGCAGCTGACTCCACAACAGATTCAGCAACTTTTGGCAACTCAGCAGCTGACACCACAACAGATTCAGCATCTTGTAGCCCAGCAACAGTCTTCTCGGCCACAATTCTTCCCACAGCAACAATTTGGGGGCCAACAATTCTCCCCACAGCAATTCGGTGGACAACAATTCATCCCACAACGGCATTTAGGGGGTCAACAATTCGTCCCACAGCAATTCGGAGGCCAGCAATTCTTACCACAGCAATTCGGGAACCAGCAGTTTGTCCCACAACAATTCGGAGGTCAACAGTTTACGCCACAGCAATTCGGAGGCCAACAGTTTACGCCACAACAATTCGGAGGCCAACAGTTCCTTCCACAGCAATTCGGTGGGCAGCAGCAGTTCCCAGGTCAGCAGTTCGGGCACGGAATCCAGCCGTCTGCAACAAAGAAATCTGAGGAGTCTACCAAGTCCCACTCTGAAGCCTCTCCAAAGAAGTCCACAGCAATCCCAAAGCCCCCACAGCCTAAAGCTGAATAGTTACTACTGCATCCACAACCTGTAGTGCTAAACCGCTATTTATTGTCTGTTAGTTCGGACCATACCCGATAAATACCATACGCAAAATTTGAATTTCCACCCGGAATAGTTCGTATGTGCAATATGTGAGGTCTCATTTGTATATAATCTTCCATAACGAAAAAAAATAAATGTTAAAATAAAAATAATTTATATTTATTTATCATGTTCGTGGAGCAAGAAAAAAGTAAATTGTAGATGTGGCGAGTAACTTGAAAATTGCGCGGTCTGTTGCGCATTTGTGATGCATAGAGGAGGAACTTTCTATGTTGTCACGTTGCTTGGTCTACTATTTTATTTCTGTTCTCGAAATTTTGTTTCCAGTGACTGACATCTAGCACTGTTTGTGCTTCCGGTATTTTTCTCATTTTTTCATTATATGACAATTACCACTGTGTACCAGGTTATACTCCAAGTATAGCCCTTGTGGCTTAGCGCTTCTTTTTTATTATAATAATAATAATAATATACTCCAAGTGTGGTAATACTAAAAACAAAAAAGATATTAATTAAACTCCAAGCCTCAAATAACACAAATAACCTTGCAGGGACATGTTGCACCTTGCAATGTGCATATAAATGATTTAAGCATTCAAGGAGAATGGTCCTTGGAACAGGCTGGGATGACACTGCAAGGTAACCGAGACAGGGAAAGTTTGCCACTCTAAAAAATATAGGTGGTAGGAGCTATCGGCTCCTCGGGCTTGCGTCGATACCCTTTAACCCAACGTTATAGTTGACAGCACATATATATATATATAATATATATATTAATATATATATATAATATATATATATATATATATATATATATATATATATTTATATATATTATATAAAGACGCAAAACAACCACGCGGGAGTAGAATGATAGCTCTAGGCTTAGAGAATGATAGTTAGTAGAATGATAGCTCTAGGCTTAGAGCTATCATTCTACTCCCCCGTGATTGTTTTGATATATAATATATATATATATATATATATAATATATAATATATATTTAATATATAATATTTATTTATTATTTTTATTATCACATGGCCGATTCCCACCAAGGCAGGGTGGCCCGAAAAAGAAAAACTTTCACCATCATTCACTCCATCACTGTCTTGCCAGAGGGTGCTTTACACTACAGTTTTTAAACTGCAACATTAACACCCTCCTTCAGAGTGCAGGCACTGTACTTATATATTATATATATACATGTATATATACATGTACATATATATATATATTAATATATATATATATATATATATATATATATATATATATATATATACATTTATATATATATATCACATGTATATATATGTATATATATACATGTATATATATACAGTATATATATACATGTATATATATAATGTATATATATATATACATGTATTTATATATACAATATATATATATACATGTATATATTATATATATTATTTATATATACTTATTGTATTAATATTATATATACACATGTATATATATATTACAGTATATATATATATATAATTATATATAATGTATATATAGTGTATATATATATATATATATATATAATATATGTATATATATATATATATTGCATATATATATATATATAATATATATATATATATATATATATTATATATTATATATATATAATATATATATATGTATAGTGTATATATATAATATATATATATATTATATATATATATGTATATGTGTTATATATATATATATAAATATATATGTATATATATACAATATATATATATATATAATATATATATATACAATTATATATATATATATATATACAATATATAATATATATATATTATATAATATTATATATATATATATACATATATATTATATATATATATATATATATATATTATATATACTATATTATATACTATAATATATATATATAAAATATATATATATAAATATATATATATATTTATATATATACATATATTATATATATATATATACATATATATATATATTATATATATATATATATATTATATAAATATATACATATATTATATATATTATTATATATATATATACATATATTATATATATATATATATATATATTATATGTATAATATATATATATAATTATATATATTATATATATAAATATATATTAATATATACATATATATATATATATATACATATATATAATATATTATATATATATATATAATTATATATATTATATATATATATATATATATATATATATATATACATTATATATATATATATATATATATATACATATATATATATATATAATATATAAAATTTATATATATATTATATATATATTTATATAATTTATATATAAAATATTTTTATGTGTGCAAATAGGCAAAACTTGCGACTTGGCTTAAATAGCAACGTCATCTGCCAATAGGAAAATGAAATTTATGTAGCAAAAAATTCGCCCAAAAAAATTCTGAACCCAACGAAAAAAAATATATATGATCTGTTTGTTTAGTACTAAATTTTTCTGTAAACGTTTTAAAAAATATTTGTTTGGGGTTTGGGGAAAATAAATTTTTTGTTTAAAAAGGTTAGGGAAGTTTTCTAAGATTTTTTTTGGTGCAAAATTAAAAATTTTTACATTAACATTAATGAAAAAATTTATCTTTAATACTTTACAAGAAAAATTTTTTAAAAAGGGGGACTTAATTTTAAATGAGTTCTTGCTAATTGCCCAGTTTTACATATTCGGCACGACAAAATACTTTATATATATATCCACAACACACACACCACACACACACACACAAAACACACCACAACCCACACACAAAACACCACACACACACACCCCAAAGGCTTATGAGAGGAGGTCTGTTCTCTGCACGCTTTCCTTGGGTGATTTTTAAGTTCTTTAAATATGTGTTTCCTTTTGGTGCTATGAACAAATCTAATAATATTAGTAGTGACAGAAAAGCCTAATGCTTCTCTTTATCCCCAAAAACTACATCAATGTACAATTTAACAAGTCAGCATCGCCTACTCCAGCTTTCTAGTAAATGGAACTGGAAAAGTTCTCCTGATTAGTTTATGGTCATTTGACCGAGGCCTTTCGCTGGCTTTCTGGTCCAGCCCGTAAAAAAATATCACAGATGTGACATTCAAGGTTTCCCACCTCGTTTAGAAACCAGAAACCAAAGGATCACATATTCATCTAGAGCTTAAGCCTAAGCATATAAGGTGTATATAATAGTTACCTATTAATCTTTAATCTAGGGAGATCTCACAGATAATGTGAATCTCTACAACGTCACCAAATGAATTTTGTACATACCAAATAAATTTTTTGTAAATAATGTAAAACAAGCTAAATTATAGGTATTTATAACAAAATTTCTAGATTTACTCGGGGTCGATCAAGTGGTTGTCAGAAAACGGAACGTGATGATTACCTCTGCAGCAAAAAAAAAAAAAAAACATTCTCTGCTGTGAATTACTGTTTCCAATGAAGCGGTAATGAAGCAAGGAACAGAAGGTCATTGTGAACACAAGGAGATACACCTAGTCTTTGTCTCAGGTACTTCCTCCATTCACAATATAGTTTGTTCTTAGAATTATCGTTTTATCACACGTGATCTCTCAATGCTGAGAAAATTATTAAAATCAATGAGTGGATGCACTTAGACGTCACCTTGATATATAGTATATAATTTTATCAATGACTATTAGCAGCATTTCACCAAGAGTCATGACGGCCTAACAAATATGCTGATTTTTTCTCAAACCGTTTGATATTTAACTGGACTTCAGTGAGGCGCCTCATCTAGGTTCCACACAAAAGACTGCAAAAAGTGGAGGAGGCTCCCTCCTGGAAAGTTAGGGCAAGTCACAAGTGACAATACACAGCGACAAATTACTACGCGGTTACCTGTAGCAACTTCTGGGGGTCACCGCCCCCGCGGCCCGGTTCCACACCGGGCCTCCTGGTTGCTGGTTGTTCGATCAGGTTGTTAGTGCCCGCCTCCCGCAGTTCAACGTATGCACCGCAACCCGGCTGATCGGAAATGACTTGATAAACTTATCGAGCTCCTTCTTGAAGACAGCCACGGTTTTATTGATAATTTCCCTTATGCATGATGGGAAGACGGTTAAGAGTCGTGGTCTTTATACGACGTTGAAGAGTCATGGTCTCTATACTTACTGAGTTCATTCATCGTGGCCCTGCTGTTCATTGAAAGCATCTCGCAAGGTCTGCCAAGCCTTGTGCTTTCTTATGGAATGATTTCGGTGTGTAGGTTTAGGGCCAATTCCTGCAGAACCTTCCATGCGTAGATTGTGATATAGTTTTCTCGCCAACGGTCTCTAAGGAATACAGTTCGATGGACTTCAAGCGCGGTCGACACAAAAATTGGACACCCGACGATTTTTTTCTTCCCCTCTCGTTACTCCCCCCCCCCGGTACCCGCCCATGCAACGAAGGAAAAATATGAGAAGGAAACAGCAGCTGGAACAGCCACTTACACTGGCTGCCTTGTCCTTGTGGGCGCCGCCCGTGTCAGCCTCTCTCTCACTCACGCCCATCAGGGCCACTATTGTCGGGGGTTTCTCCAGTAGTCAAAACTGGTGTGGAAAGGTCATTACTCCCCAGCCTCACTTGCACATCACTCATCCTTCTCACACATATACACTGTATTGTACCTGCGACTATATTGTACACTATCACTGTAAGATATAATCAATTTGTAAAAGATGACGTCAGCATAACATGTCCCTCGCAAGTGTGGGGAAATCAACGATCGTATTCTACCAAACACACTGTGCGAATTCTATGATTCAACTTCCGGCGCCGCTTTTAGCATCGATTTGTAAAAAAAAAAAAATAGATTATGCGACAAACGTTCCTGTTCAGTAATGTGGGATATGACTCGTGCCTATACTCCCACAGAAGGAAATTACTATGTGGTGATTCTCTAATTTTTAAATGGTGTGTAACACCTGACTCCGCTAGTCCGGCTCAGGAGACAACTGTCTTACTGAACTGTCTTTGTTGAACACCTTCACACAATAATAGAGCCTCTATGCACAGGTGTATATCTGTGTATATTAATCCCAATTTTGAAGATTA